GGGATTTAGTCCCATATGATATACAGTTGTCCCTCCGAATTACTTGACTTCCCGTTGGTTTTGAATTTCCGTGGATGGGAAGCCAGGAGGGACAAAATGGCATGCACACCTGGGAGTGTTCTGCCATTGTTTTCAATGGGTCTTGAATATTTGCTGGCTGGGCTTGCACAGTGCTGTTCAATCTGCTCCAACCACAAACTGGTGGGAAAAAGCAGAGGAAAAGTCTTCCTTCCCCCTCTGGTGTCTCTGAGGGAAGGTTTAATGGATGGTGTAATTGTAAATGGTTCAGCGTTCAGGTATTGATGTTGTTGTTTTTGTTATTTTAAATCTTGAGTTAAGTCTTGGGACAATGGTCTGTGGCAACAAAAGATGTTGTCCCTGGTAAAGAAAAGGTTGAGAATCACTGGTCTAGGAAGCATGCATCATTTGATGGCTGTACATTCCTTCAATTTTTAATGTATTTAAATAAATTTATTTTATTTAGTAAAATGCCCAGCCTAAAGAGGCCCCAGGAGGGAGGAGAAACAATGAGAAGGTTTTGTTTTCAGCTTCAGAGAGGTTTCCTGTACTACGTAATAGAATAGAATTAAATGCGCAGTTACCTTCCTTTGCTCAGGAAGCTAGTTCCACCCAGAAGCACACTAATTCAGTAAAGAAATAAGGAGCCATCTTCTTCCATAGTAGAAGGAACATAAATTCCAATACTACATCCTGGCCCTATAACTGTATTTCTTATATACAGAAGGAGACAAGTAATCCACTAGTAATCCATTCTTCAAAATGCATCCGACTGTATGATTTTCGTATGCATCTTCCATGCTTCTTGCTACAATCGTCTTCTAAATTCCTCAATTTTCAAGGCAACATCCATTTAATAATACATTCTTTTTTGAAAAAATACCATCTTTGCTCCATTCCCTTTTCTGCTACAACTGGAAATAATGTTTTCATCTAGGCTTCTTTTGGAATATTGATTTATTAGCGTGGAATGTCATAGATTTATTTCTTTCCCCCCTCCTTCTTCTATCATAGGCCTAAAATCGGAGACCTCAACTTCCCCTAGCAGATTAAATACAAATTATGCAAATTGCTGTGTCCTGGGTCATAATCCAATTAACGGGACACATACTGAGCACATGATCATTAGTCTAAATGAAAGCTGTCAAGCAGCTTGGTGCTTGAGATTAACGCATCCACCCTTGGATGCTTTTTGGAAGCAAGAGTATATCTACGGGGTTTCCCAAGGCTTCAGTCTTTTTAAAGGAAACAAAAATCAAACTATGAAAGTCAAGCCTGTTAGAGGCTTTAAATTAGCAGAGTAGCAGAAGAGTGACTTTGCCTAGCTATGCTACCCTAAGAACTTAGACTGGCTGACAAAACAACAAACATGTAGCTTGCAGTTCAAAACAATGGCTTTAATCTATGTTTACATTA